GAGGATGGAAGAAAAAAACAGCAAAAAGATAATAAAGATAAAAAAAATATACAGTTAACGTACATCACCGTGGAATGTTTATTCATGAAAACAAAAAAAAAAAAAGAGAAGATATATGAGAATGTGGAAGAGATTGGAAAAATTAAACAGCAAAAAGATAATAAAGATTAAAAAATATATAGTTGACCTACACTATTGGGGAACATTTACCATTTTTCAGTTAGAAAACTAAAAATATTCAGATTATACACCTTATGTTTGCTGAAAAAATTTACTCATTATTTTCTCATCCTATTCAAGAAGTAGGTCTAACGGCATTTTATCATTCGATACATATTTTTTCTTTTTATTCTAAAGCTGTTTGAAACCAGCATGATCATTTATGGACCTTTGGACATTTTGTGTCAATTTTCTACACAATCAAACAACCGAAAAGCCTGTCAAATGGAGCCAAAATCTTGCTTATATTCATCCAGTGAAAATCAGTTAATTGAAAAATTACACAGAAAAATCAAGGAATCTCAATTATATAGAAATTCAAGATAGAATAATATTACAATTTGACAGAGAGGTAAAACCTTCTCCTTTAAAGAAATAGGTGAAAAACCCAGATAAAATTTTGGATAAGGAGTTTAAAAGCCCAACTGATTTTGATATTGAACAAGTTTGACAACTCTCACCTGACAATTTCATATGCGTCTTCGACTGTATACCGCTCCCACTTTGAATATGCACCTTTCCACAGATTTGGATATGTAGGTACTTCTAGAGGAAATGACTCCTCATCTATAATGTGCCAATGAAGGACATTCTACTAAATGTAATTCTCAACAAAAGAATTACATGTAGAATAATCGGAAAGCAGAAAACAATGCAGAATCAGGTGAGCATTCAAATGAACTTCAGCTCCAAAATACAACACAAACAAAAGATAACTGGTAGAATTCCTTACGAATTTAGCATATGACATTGATTCAATTATCTGCTTAATAACATCAATTGGCAAATAGTGTCGTGATGTATCTGCAAAAAAGGCAAATATAATCGATAGTAGGTTCTTCAATCATATTATTATATAAGGAAATGTAAATTGATTCTATGACCCAACCAAAAGATTGAGGCTTACCAAGCATAAGCCCGCGAAATGCAAAACTTGGTTTGTCCTGGATGTACCATGGTGCTTTGTATATCAAAACAGATTTAGTTATGTAATCAAAGGTACACAATTGGCTGAATGTCTGGAACAGCACAGAGGATTAGTAAGTATGGATTTATGGCTGCAAGAAATCACAAGCTTCACAATCCTTTCAAACAATTGTTTAAAGAGAAAAACAATGAACTGTGTTTGCACCTAAAGCAATCACATGAAACTTCAAGATGCAAATTTCTGAATACAAACCTATATAGGTAAAATAACGTGTAACAAAATGAATTTGGTGATTGTCGTAGGTAATCAAACTAATGTAGTACCTCTCAAATGCACAACTTGCCAGTACACTCCACTTTCCAT